ATGGATGGATGGATGGATGGAGGGATGGATGAATGGATGGATGGATGGATGGATGGATGAATGGATGGATGGATGGATGGATGAGTGTTGCCAGCGCATCACTAGATACTATAGCTAGCTAACCTACGCACTGGCTATAAAGTTAGGGATAAACAACTAGTTTAGACTTATAGCAGCCTCCACCAGATTCTTCTCACTCAATACTCTGGACTGGGGCCACATTGAATCATAAAGTACTATACTGGCAGTTGTTAGCCAGACGAAGTGGTGTGGATGTTCACTGGTGATTGAGGGATTCACCTATGCAACTGAAGCCATCCTGGGCCAACTTGTATCCAGCCTCGCAGCTGCACTGTATCGCATCCCCGACGTTGCGGCACGTGTGTGCGCATGGATTAGAGGACCCGCATCTATCTCCCTCGCCGCCATCCGCCACCGGCACTGCAATAGGAAATGCGCGTAGACTGTATTCATACTACTACTTCTTTTCACTTGACGATACCATGTACCATATCAGGCAAACTATGGAACGCCCTGTCCATAAACAAACATAATAAAATGTCCGTCTTAATTAAACGTCTTAAACTATTTCCGTGCAACTCTATATATCTCTCTTTCTCCCCCTCCCCCGACTCTATCTCTGCGCGTGCGTGCGTGCGTATACGTGCGTGTGTTTGTTTGTGCGTGTGTTTATGCGTGTGCGTGCGCGCGCGCGCGTGTGTGTTGGTTGTGTGTATTATTGCACGGAATACTCACCTGTATGATTTGTTAAATGTAGGCAGCAGTTCTCGTAGACATTTTCACAGACGCTGCTTAGGATCGGAGGCGTGCAATTCATCCGCATCCCTGCCGCGATCGCACCTAGCTTGCAGCAATCACAGCATTCCTGCGAGAACGCACGAACACAACAACATTATTATTATATTTACTATTGCTATTATTATCGTCATTATAATATCATTAGAGTTATTGTTATTTTTATTATTGTTTGTTATTTTTATTATTATCAACATCACGATCATCGTCATTGTAATTCATTATTAGTCGGCTCAGCTCTCCAGCAGCGAAGTTACGCGATGTGACATTCAAATGTTACTTAAATATAATTACTTAATATAATTTGCTATATTGAAGCCGGCAACTTGTTTAATGGGGGACTTACAAACTTTACATATTTGCAAATGAGTGTATAATTATTATTGCTCGCGAGCTCGTGTACCTTGTACATTATTGCTCCGAGCTCAGCTGTCTCTAGCGGACACTCACGCCCGTTGAGCGCCACCTGGAGGCCTGAGTCACACATGCGCATCTGTATGCTGCGGCGGCAGCAGAGGCCTCGCATCAAGTCGCAGGTAGGGTGATGCTTCGGCTAGATCGTGAAGCGGCGTGGCCAGCAAGCACACAGAGAAATGTATAGAGAGCTTGTTTAGTGTAGGCCTACTGCTTCTATAGGCAAGCGCGCATTTTGTCGAAACAAAAAGTAGAATCGACGACCTCGGGTGAGTGGAGGGCAGACGTGATCAGGGAGCTTAACGTGATCAATGATGAGTGATCAATGATGAGTGATCAATGATCAATGTCAACGTGTATATACGTACGTTCAACAACGGAAATTTAGTAGTGATACATATTTGGTCTTCATCAATCCCTATAACTAGCCACGAATTGTTATCGACATCATTGGCGTTCCTTTCAATATATATTTTTCAAATCAAGATTAATATTTCGTCTAATTTCAAAATCGTTATATGAATTGATGTGAAACACGTAGAAACGAATTAGATGACAAAGCGATTGAGTTGCGTGCACGCACTGACCTGAACTCCAGTCATGGGGGTACTGGCGAGCCCGTCGCATTCCTGTTTCTGGCTGTAGTACTGGTTGCCAAGCAAGCAGCAGTTATCAAGCATTTCTACATCGAACGCCCCTGTAAGATGGAAACTTCACTTTTCTATCCAAAGTTCATTGACCCCGCGAGTGTGCTATACGGTCAATCCAGTGTTCTTATTAGTTTAATCAATGCAATGCCCTTCGTCGTGAGTGTGTTTTTTGCTCGATTTCTTTTAACCCGGTGTAAAATTAATGAAGTCCAACATTGGCGACGAAGTCAAAGTCGAATATAACGAATATTTTAGAAAATTCCTTAGAAGAAATCTCGAGAAATAGTGTTTATTTTCCAGAGATTTGTTCAGTTGCGATATGCACAATTCTGTTCCTAGCACGATGTACCAATTCGTTTATTCGATAACATCGTTCAGATTTCACTCTATGTCATAAACAGCAATCGCAGACGAACAATAAGGAAATCTAAACGACCATATATATAGTCTAACGAAAGTTTGCCTATACACACAGGCGGGCGATGAACGCTTTAGCTGAAGGAATTTTAACTACTATAGCACTTGGCATTGATATTGCACAATCAGTGCACGCAAGGTCTAAGATTAGTGGTTGTGTTTGATCTGGATATCTGTAGTATCTGAGAGCAAATACGGCTCACAAACGCAGTGAATGTTGCCGATCAGCGATCACGCCGATGTTGCGGCCACACACACACACACACACACACACACACACACACACACACACACACACACACACACACACACACACACACACACACACACACACAC